AAATTTTTTGGGATTCTCACCCTAAATTCCTAAATATTTTGGGATTCTCTTCCTAAAAACGTAAAATTTCTTGAGATTCTCACCCTAAAAACCCAAAATTTTTTGGGATTCTCACCCTAAATTCCCAAATTTTTTGGGATTCTCATCCTAAATTCCCAAATTTTTTTGGATTCTCACCCCAAAATCCCCAAAATCCTTTGGGATTGAAGGAATTCCCCATCCTAAAATCCCCATGTCCTTTGGGATGAAGTAACTTCAAGGGGATTTTTGGGGAATTTTTGGGAAATTTTTGGGAAATTTTTGGGAATTTTGGGGATTTTTGGGAATTTTTGGGGATGGTCTCACCCCTGTAGGGATCCTGGCTGGGGTTGAGCTCCGGGGACGTCGCCGACGGCACCGGGAGCGTCGGCACCGGCACCTGGTTGGGCACCAAGGAGTGGCTGCCGCGGAGTCCAACGCCGTCCTCTCGATGGGCGCCCACCTGGAGATCCCGAAATTTAGGAAATCCCAAAATCCCAAAAAGTCAAAAAATCCCAAATCCCAAATTCCAGGAAGTGCCAAAAAGGCGAAATCGCGAATTTCAGGAAATCCGAAATCCCAAAATCCGAAAAACTCAAAATCGCAATTTCCAGGAAATCCAAAAATTTGGGAAATTCCAAATCCAGGAAATCCAAAAATCCCAAAATCTGGAATTTCAGGAAACTCCAAATTCCAGGAAAACCCAAAATCCCAAAAACTCAAAATCCCAAATTCCAGGAAATCCAAAATCCCAAAATTCAAGGAAATCCAAAATCTCAAAAACTCCAAATCCCAAATTCCAGGAAATCCAAAATCCCAAAATTCAGGAAAACCCAAAATCCCAAAAACTCAAAATCCCAAATTCCAGGAAATCCAAAAACCCAAAATTCAGGAAAACCCAAAATCCCAAAAACTCAAAATCCAAAATCTCAGAATTTCCCAAAAACTCAAAATCCCAATTCCCAGGAAATCCCAAAATTTGGGAAATTCCAAATCCAGGAAATCCAAAAATCCCAAATCGCAGAAACCCAAAAAATCCCAAAAAGCCAAAATCCCAAATTACAGGAAATCCCAAAACCCAAAAACTCCCCAAAAAATCCCTTCAAAATAAAAGAAAATCCCAAAAAAAACCCCAAAAATTCCCAAAAAAATCCCCAAAAAATTCCAAAAATCCTCCAAAAATCCTAAAAATCCCCAAAAAATCCCCCCAAAATTCTCAAATTTTTCACATTTTTTACCCATTTTCCTCCAATTTCCCCCCAATTTTTCCCCCATTTTGTCCGCCATTTTGTCCTCCATTTTGTCCGCCATTTTGTCCTCCATTTTGTCCGCCATTTTGTCCTCCATTTTGTCCGCCATTTTGTCCTCCATTTTGTCCGCCATTTTGTCCTCCATTCCAAAAATCCCAAATCCCAGAAACCCAAAAAATCCCAAAAAGCCAAAATCCCAAATTACAGGAAATCCCAAAACCCAAAAACTCCCCAAAAATCCCCTCAAAATAAAAGAAAATCCCAAAAAAACCCCCAAAAAATTCCAAAAATCCTCCAAAAATCCTAAAAATCCCCAAAAAATCCCCCCAAAATTCTCAAATTTTTCACATTTTTTACCCATTTTCCTCCAATTTCCCCCCAATTTTTCCCCCATTTTGTCCGCCATTTTGTCCTCCATTTTGTCCGCCATTTTGTCCTCCATTTTGTCCTCCATTTTGTCCGCCATTTTGTCCACCATTTTGTCCGCATTTTGTCCACCATTTTGTCCGCCATTTTGTCCCAATTTTTCTGCCATTTTTGCTCCATTTTGTCCCCAATTATTCCGCATTTTTCCCCCAATTTTCCCCCATTTTGTCCCCAATTTTTCCCCCATTTTTTCCCATTTTCTCCCCCATTTTGTCCCAAAACTTTCCCATTTTTTCCCTCATTTTTTCCCCAATTTTTTTCAATTTTTCTCATTTTTTTTCCAATTTTTCCCCATTTTCCCCCCATATTTTTCTTAATTTTTCTCCAAATATTCCCCATTTTTCCCCCAATTTTCGGCCATTTTGTCCCTAATTTATCCCCATTTTTTCCACATTTTCCTCCCAATTTTTTCCCATTTTCTCCCTCATTTTTTCCAATTTTCCCCAATTATTCCCCATTTTTCCCCCAATTTTCCCCCATTTTGTCCCCAATTTTTCCCCATTTTTCTCCCATTTTTTCCCATTTTCTCCCCATTTTTTCCCAAAACTTTCCCATTTTTTCCCTCATTTTTCCCCCATTTTTTTCTTAATTTTTCCCAGATTTTCCCCCAATTTTCCTCCCAATTTTTTCCCATTTTTTCCCTCATTTTTTCCAATTTTCCCCAATTTTCCCCCATTTTTTCCCCAATTTTACCCCAATTTTTCCCCATTTTCTCCCCACTTTGTCCCAAATTTTTCCAATTTTTTCCCTCATTTTCCCCCAAATTTTTTCAATTTTTCTCATTTTTTCTCCAATTTTTCCCCCATTTTTTCCCCAATTTTTTCCCATATTTCCCCAATTTTTTCCCATATTTTCCCCCACTTTTTTCTTAATTTCCCCCCAATTTTTCCCCATTTTTTCCGCATTTTTTCTCCCTTTTTTCTCCAATTTTTTCCCCATTTCCCACTATTTTTTTCTTATTTTTGCCCCAATTTTTCCCTCATTTTTTCCCCAATTTTTCCAAATTTTTTCCCCCATTTTTTCTCCCATTTTCCTCCAATTATTCCCAATTTTTCCCCAATTTCCCACCATTTTGTCCGCCATTTTGTCCCCAATTTTCTACCATTTTCCGCCATTTTGTCCGCCATTTTGTCCTCCATTTTGTCTGCCATCTTGTCTCCAATTTTCCGCCATTTTCCTTTCATTCGTCCGCCATTTTTCCGCCATTTTGTCCCAAATTTTTCCCAATTTTTCCCCTCACCATCAAGGAATGTCTCTGGCCCAGCAGCCCTCTCCCGTAGCCACCGGCCAGGGTGGCCATGGCCCCGTTGTGGGTGGCCCCAATGATGGCGGCCATGTCCCCACTGTTGGCCAACCCAACTGGAACATCCCAAAACCCCAAAACCCCCCAAAAAATCGCCAAAAATCCAAAAAAAATCCTCAATTTTTTTCTCCATTTTGTCCCAGATTTTTCCCCAATTTTTCCCTAATTTTCCCAAATTTATTCCCCCATTTTTTCTCCCATTTTTCTCCATTTATTCCCAATTTTCCCCCATTTTGTCCGCCATTTTGTCCCCAGTTTTCTGCCATTTTGTCCGCCATTTTGTCCTCCATTTTTCTCCATTTTATCCTCCATTTTGTCCCCAGTTTTCTGCCATTTTCCGCCATTTTGTCCACCATTTTGTCTGCCATTTTGTCCACCATTTTTCCGCCATTTTTCCTCCATTTTGTCCCAAATTTTTCCCCAATTTTTCCCCAATTTTTCCCCATTTCCTCCTCACCATCAAGGAATGTCTCTGGCCCAGCAGCCCGCTCCCGTAGCCACCGGCCAGGGTGGCCATGGCCCCGTTGTGGGTGGCCCCGATGATGGCGGCCATGTCCCCATGGCCGCCGGTGGCCATGGCGGTGGCCGGGCCGACAGCGTGGTTCCGAAGGACGTGGATGGCGTCATCCAGGCGCTCCAGGCGGTCCTCGATGCGGCTCTGCTGCGGGGAAAAATGGGGAAAAATTTTAATTATTTTAGCCAAAATTTAGGATTTTTAATGGAGATTTTTTGGGAATTTTACGGGAATATTTTGGGATTTTTTTCTGAATTTTTTGGGAATTCTTGAGGATTTTTAAAGGATTTTTTGAGGATTTTTGGACGGTTTTTCAGGATTTTTTACTGAAATGTTTAGAATTTTTTGGGGGATTTTTTAAGGATTTTTTGGAAATTCTATGGGATTGTAATGGGATACTGACTTTTTTAGGATTCTTTGGGGACTTTTGAAGATTTTTTGAGGATTTTTTTTAAATTTTATGGAAATTTGATGGGAATTTTTTGGGATTTTTACGGGAATTTTTGAGAATTTTTTTGAGAATTTCTGGAGATTTTTTAAGGATTTTTTTGGGATTTTTGAGGATTTTATGGGATTTTAATGGGAATTTTTGGGGATTTTTTACTGAATTTTTGAGAATTTTTTGAGGGTTTTTCAAGATATTTTACTGAATTTTTTAGAATTTTTGGGGATTTTTTAGCGATTTTAAAGGATTTTTTGAGGATTTTAATGGGGATTTTATGGGAATTTTTTGGGATTTTTTACTGAATTTTTTGGGGATTTTTGAGGACTTTTTAAAGGATTTTTGGGGGGATTTCTGGGGATTTTTTTCTTTATTTTTGGGGGGTTTTATGGGATTTTAAAGGGAATTTTTGGGATTTTTTTACTGAACTTTTCAGGATTTTTGGGGGATTTTTTGAGGATTTTTCAAGATTTTTTAAATGATTTTTTTAGGAATTTTTTACTGATATTTTGCTGATTTTTTGAGAATTTTTTTCAGGATTCTTAAAGGATTTTTTGGAAATTTTATGGGATTTTAATGGGAATTTTTTGGGATTTTTTTGGCATTTTTTATTAAACTTTTAGATTTTTTTTTTTCAATTTTTGGGGAATTTTCTGTGATTTTCTGGGATTTTAATGTGAATTTCGCCGGGTTTTTTGAGAAGTTTTTTAAGGTTTTATGGGATCTTAATCTGATTTTTATAGGAAATTTTTTTGGGATTTTTTACGGAATTTTTTGGGATTTTTTTGTGATTCATTACAAAATTTTTGAGAGCTTTATGGAAATTTTGGGGGATTTTTTTTTGATTTTTTCGGGGATTTTTTTGAGGATTTTTTGAGAAATTTTTTTATTTTTTGGGATTTTTAAAGAACTTTTAAAGGATTTTTTAGGATTTTTTGGGGGACGGCTTTAAGATTTTTTTCGGATTTTTTCGAATTTTTTTTTTTGGGATTTTTAGAAATTTTTTTAAAATTTGTTTTTAAATTTTAATGAGATTTTTTGGGGAATTTTTAAATTATTTTAAAAGTATTTTGAAGGAATTTTATGGGATTTATTTGGATTTTTTTGTTTGTTTTTTTAAAATTTTTTGGGGATTTTTTGGGGGATTTTTCTGGATTTTTTTAATTTTTTGGGGGACCTATTTTTAAAATTTTAATGGGAATTTCCCTTTTTTTTCTGGATTTTAAAAACTTTCTTTAGGATTTTTTCCAGATTTTTGAAATTTTTATTTCAAGATTTTTATTGAATTTTTTTTTTAATTTTGGGGAATTTTTCCTGAATTTTTCCTGAAATTTTCCAGGAATTTTCTCGATTTTTTTAATATTTCTGGCAATTTTCCCTGAATTTTCTGAGGATTTTTCTGGGAATTTTTCCTCAATTTTTTCTGGAATCTTCTGCAATTTTCCCAGGATTTTTCTGGGATTATTTTTAATTTTTTCAGGATTTTTTTCGGATTTTTTCCTTTTTTTTTTTGGATTTAAATTTTTTTTTTAATTATTTTTTCCAGATTTTTTTGGGATTTTTTCCCTGGAATTTTTTGGGAATTTTCCTGAGTTTTTCCAGGATTTTTTTCGGATTTTTTTAAATTTATTCCAGAATTTTTCTAGAACTTTCTGATAATTTTTTTCCTCAATTTTTCCGGAATTTTCCTGAATTTTTCCTGGATTTTTTTCTTAAATTTTCCCGGGATTTTTTTTTAATTTTCCAGGAATATTTCCAGAACTTTCCCAGGAATTTTCTCCTCTCTCGCCCCCAAAACTTGGAGAAAACCCCAAAAAAAAGGAGAAAAAAACCCAAAAATTGAACCAAAATTGAGAATTTTTGACCCCAAAAACCCCTCAAAGCCCCTCCCAAAATCCGCCTAATTAACATCTAATTAACTCCTAATTAATGCTTAATTATGCCTGAAAAACTAAGCATTTATGAATAATTAATTAGGTGCTAATTAAGAAATTTTGGCCTTGATGATCCCCAAAAATTTTCTGTGTTTTTGACCAAAACCCAAATAATTAACTTCCAATTAACTACTAATTAATACCTGATTAATTAGTAATTAAAAATAATTAATTATTAATTAATTAAGGAATCACCACCCAAGAATGTCAACAAATTTCTGCTTTTCTGACCAAGAAACTGAATAATTACTGCCTAATTAGTGCCCAATTAACGCACAATTAACGGCTGAGTAAGTAGCCATTTGTGAGTAATTAATGAGGTATTAATTAATTAAGACACCATTAATTAGGAAGTTTAAACCCCATGTAACCCCTTAAATTCCCGTGTTTTTACCCAAAATTCAGCCTAATTAATGCTTAATTAATGCCTAATTATTGACTAATTAATGGGTCATTAATGAGGCATGAATGAGCCATTAATTAGTTAACAAAGCGGCCGCTAATTAAGGAATTTTGACCTCATTTAACCCCTTAAATTCCCGCTTTTTTGACCCAAAAAACTGCCTAATTAATGCCTAATTATTAACTAATTAATGAAACATTTATGAGGCATGAGTGAGCCATTAATTAATTTATTAGGAGACCACCAATTAAGGAATTTCAACCCCATTTAACCCCTTAAATCCCAGCTTTTTCACCCCAAACCCGACTAATGAACGACGTCATCGACGCCAGATTAACGAGGCGATCTGGGAGTCGCCCACGAGGCGCTAATTAATTAATTAATTAATTAACACCTACCAGGGAGTGCAAGGGCCCCTCGTAATTGGGAGACGAAGACGCCTGACCTCCGTTGCGAGCCCAGGCAGCCGTCCCTGCTAACGAGGAAAAGCCTAATTAGCGTCGTTAGCCCTGGGGGGCTTTTCCCGCCAAAATTCCCAATTTTCTGGGCAAAATTTGGGGCTTTCCCACCAAATTTTGGGGTTCCCTCCAAAATTTGGGTTCTTTTGCAGCCAAAATCTGTTGTTTTCCCGCCAAAATTTTAGGGGGGGGGTGTTGCTAATAATTGGGATTTTCCCGCCAAAATTTGGGAAAATTGGGGTTTCCTGCCAAAAATTTGGGGGTTCCCACCAAAAGTTGGGATTTTCTGGTCAGAATTTGGGGGTTTCCCGCCAAAATTTGGTGGAAAGAGGGCAGGAAACCTAGGTTTTCCCGCCAAAAATTGGGATTTTTCTGGTTAGAATTTGGGGGTTCCCCGCCAAAATTTGGGTTGAAAAGGTGGAAAATTTGGGGTTTCCCGCCAAAAATTGTGATTTTTCTGGGCAAAATTTGGGGGTTTCCCGCCAAAATTTGGGGGGGGAAGATTGGAAAATGGGGGTTCCCCGCCAAAAATTTGGGGTTTCCCGCCAAATTTTGGTGGAACAAAGGGTGGGAAAATTGGGGTTTCCCTGCCAAAATTTGGGGGTTTCCCGCCAAAATTTTGTGGAAAGAAGGGTGGGAAACTTAGGTTTTCCCGCCAAAAATTGGGGGTTTCTCGCCAAAATTTGGATTGAAAAGAGCGGGAAAATTGGGGTTTCCTGCCAAATTGTGGGGATTTCCCACCAAAATTCAGGGGTTTTCCCGCCAAAATCTGAGATTTTCCCACCAAAATTTGGGGGAAAAGAGCGGGAAGATTGGGATTTCCCGCCAAAAACTGCGATTTTTCTGGGCAAAATTTGGGGGGTTCCCGAAAAAATTTGGTGGGAAAAGGCGGGAAAATTATGTTTTCCCGCCAAAATTTGGGGTTTTCCCGCCAAAATTTGGGGTTTTCCCGCCAAAATTGGGGTTTAAAAGGTGGGGAAATTGGGGTTTCCCGCCAAGAAGTTTGGGATTTTGCCACCAAAATTTGAGGGATTCCCGCCAAAATCTGGGGTTTTCCCGCCAAAATTCGGGGGTTTTCCCGCCAAAAATTTGGGGGTTCTGGGAAAAATTTTGGGATTTTTGGGATAAATTTGGAAATTTTGGGGGTAAAATTTCAGGAATTTTGCGGTAAATTTCGGGGATTTTTGGAATAAAATTTGGCGATTTTTGAGGTAAAATTTGGGGAATTTTGGGGTAAAATTTGGGAATTTTGGGGTAAAAATTTGGCAATTTTTGGGTAAAAATTGGGATTTTTTTCTGTAAAATTTGGGGATTTTGGGGGTAAATTTTGAGGATTTTTGGGGTAAATTTTGAGGATTTTTGGGATTAAAATTTGGAGAGTTTTTGGGGTGAAATTTGGCAATTTTTGGGATAAATTTTGGCGATTTTTGGGGTAAAATTCAAGGATTTTTGGGGTACATTTTGGAGAATTATTGGGCTAAGATTTGGGGAATTTTTGGAGTAAATTTGGAGGATTTTTGGGGCGATTTTTGGGGTAAAATTTGGGAATTTTTGGGATAAAATTCAGCAATTTTTGGGGTAAATTTTGGCGATTTTTGCATAAAATTTGGGTATTTTTGGGGCAAAATTCTAGAATTTTTGAGGAAACAATTGGGGATTTTTGGGGTAAATTTTGGCGATTCTTGGAGAAAAAATTTGGGAATTTTGAGGTAAAATT